TTCCCCGGTTCCCGGACCTGGGAAGGGGCGGGGGGTTTTAATCTTTTCCGTTTTCCGGTGGCCGGGGGGGGGGGGGGGGCGCACTCTTTCGTTTTGCATTCCCCAGCGGTTAGACCGTTGACCACGCGTCCTCGAGAGGACGGAGCATTGTTTCCACGGGACCGATCACCGATGGCCAATCGTTCCTTCCTACCTTGCCAAAGGTGACTCAAAAATGTCTTCCCTAGTCGATCTATCCTACCGATATCACTTCCCGCCTTTCAGCGCACTTCCTTATGTATGCCCCAGTACATCTAACGTCGTATCCTGGCTATTCCATGCCTAAAACATCTCCCTGCACTTTCCTTCTACTTTTCCCAGCCTAGTCATGTGCACTTCCCTGTCCTTCTTATACAGCCGACATTCCGCGACAACATGAACACGGTCTAAGGCAAATGTCCCCGGTCCTGACTTTGACCTTCAGCTTTGTCCCTGCATCCATTGGTCCATGTGGGTACTCCTTGAACCCTCTTCCTTATTTCAACATTCCGTACACTTCTAGGCCCTCTTATCCTTGTTTTTTTTTCTTAAATTCTTCTCTCTCGGCAAAAGCAACAGATATCTTCTCCTTGAACCCATGTAGGCCCTCCGTATCCAGCGTATCGCCTTCGTCAATTTCGAACCCCTTCCATACGTCACCTACAACCTTGACCCACTCTGTAGGTTGTTTACCCCTCGTCTTGTTTGCCCACTCCGCCTCCCAAGCTATTCTCGGCAACCTCTCCTCTCCCATACGGCACATGCGATACCGCCATGTCAGCTTCCTTGCGTCGCTTCCCGATCGTAGGGATCGGATCCCCAGTTCTGCCCTGACGGCTGCATTACTTGTGCGCTTGGAGCATCCTAGGATGACTTGCGTGCTTTCATGTGCGCCACCTCGAGCTCTTTGACTACCTCCTTATTTCCTTCCCATACTTGTCCGGCGTACTCTAGAGTCGGTACGAGTACGCTCTTCAAAACCGTCAATTTAATGCGTTTATCGAGGTACCGGTCTGCGAGTATTGGGTGCAGCTTCCCTGCTCGTGCTTTGCCCTTTCCCGCTACCTTGGACATGTGTGCATTCCATGAGCAGTCTTTTGCGATCTCTACTCCAAGATATGTGTACTTGGTCCACTACTGCAAGCTCCTCGACCCCCCACTTCCATCTATGTTGTGCTGGTTCCTCCCTGTCCTCGTTGCATACTATGACGGCACTCTTCTTAACGTTGGCAGACAATCTCCACTTATCAGCAAACTCCTTCGCAGCGTCAATTTGCATTTGCAGGCCCTCAGGGGTGTCAGACATCCCAACAAAGTCATCGCAAACAGAATTCCCGACACCGAACTTTCCCCCATTTACTCCCTTCCCGACTGCTTCTACATCTTCCAACAGATCGTTGATGAACACCTGGAACAATGTTGGGGACAAAGTGCAACCTTGTGGGACCCTCTGTTCAATGTTGAAGATTTTAGACAGTTCTCCGTCTAGCATGACCGCGCTTTTCGTACACTCTGTCATCTTCTTCAGCACTCTCCACATTTTCTCCCTTGATCTCGTGCTTGGATAATTGTTTCCACAGCCCATTTCTCCATGCGGTATCGTATGCCTTTTGCACGTCCAGGAAGAAGCAGTGCGTCGGATTCCGCTCCCTCTTTCTACGTTGGATGATTCTCCCTAACGTGAACCCTAACGTGAATGCGTGGTCTATGCACTCCCTCTTTCGGAAACCTGCTTGGCCCTCACTTCTCCTACGTTCATTCTTCAATACTCCCACTATCCTATCGTTCAGCAACTTTCAGAACACTTTTCCTACTGTGGAAAGTGTGATCCATCCCCCTGTAGTTTCCTGGGTCAGTCTTGTCACGTTTCATAAACAAGTTCACAACCACTTCTTCCCTCCATCTACTTGGCGCATACTCATTTTTCCACACCCAGTTGTACAGCGGTGTGTGTGTTTGTGTGTTTTCGTCCTATTTATTATGGCGACAGTTCCCCCATTTATCGTGGTGAGACGTGTACTACAGTGTTCAGCGTATATAGAGTATTACATTTTTCGGTGTGTTTTTTCGTCGTGCAGCTACAACCATTCAGGGTCACACAGGAGGGGGTACAACACCAGGGCTTTTTTCTTCTTTTTATTTATTTTCATGCTCCACCTTCCTCCTGCGGTCAAGCCGAATTTTATTGTTGTTATCGCGAAAAGGGTCTTGCCGTCCCTTTCCCTCGTCAACGGTGCTAACATGGAAGTGTGGTACCCACGAGAGCTTTTCAGCTTTATTTCGCTTTCACCCGCTAATTTTTGTAGATTTTTCACCCCATGGGGATTCGAACCC